CCCCAGAATTGACCCTGCTGCCACTGGCTGTAGCCCTGAGATTGATTTTTGTAGCCACTCCTCTGAAGTTCTGGTTGTAGTTCCCTCTGTTGGGCATTCCACCTCTGTTGTAGTTCCCTCTGTTTGAGTAACTACCACGGCCAGGAAAAACAGGAGCACGAGGGTATGGATAGCCTATGCCACCACTTCCACCGCCACCACTGCCTCTCTGTGGCATGTTGCCCCTCCTATTATATCCGCCATGATTCCCAGGGGCCCCTCCTCTGAAATTTTCACCACGCATATTGAATCCTCTACGTCCTCTATGGCCACTACCCCTGTTAAACTGGTTCTTGCCACTCTTATTTTTATTGCTCTTCTTTGAGCCAGTGTTCTGTTTCTTTTCTGGTGGAAGAGCCTTTTTGCTTTCTTCCTTATATTGCTCCAAAAGCTTTTGGGCTTCTTCTTTCTGAAGTTCAACACAGGTTATTTCATCAAAGCATTCAGCTACCTCTGGGAGGGTAAAGTTTCTGGAAAGGGAATGTTTTAATCCAAGATCCAGTCAAGGTTTATATATTTCATTTGGTTATAATTTTTTAAATCTTCTACTGGTATTTTTGAAGTGTCCAGGCCATATTCTAATTTGTGTGATTGTTTCCTCAATGTTAGATTCAGGTTAAACCTTTTTGTTAAGAATGCTATAAAGGGACCGGGTGCAGTGGCTCACACCTGTAATCCCAGCACTTTGGGAGGCTGAGACGGGTGGATCACCTGAGGTCAGGAGTTGAAGACCAGCTTGGCCAACATGGTGAAACCCCCTTCCTATTAAAAAATGCAATTTTTTTTTTTTTTAGACCGAGTCTCACCCTGTTGCCCAGGCTGGAGTGCAATGGCATGATCTCGCCTCATTGCAAACTCTGCTTCCTGGGTTCGGATGATTCTCCTGCCTCAGCCTCTTGAGTAGCTGGGATTACAGGCACCCGTCACCATGCCCAGCTAATTTTTGTAATTTTTTTTAGTAGAGAGGGGATTTCACCATGTTGACCAGGCTGGTCTCAAACTCCCAATGTCAGGTGATCCGCCCGCCTCGGCCTCCCAAAGTGCTGGGATTACAGGCATGAGCTACCGCACCTGGCCTAAAAATACAAAATTTAACTGGGTGTGGTTGTGCATACCTATAGTCCCAGTTACTCAGGAGGCTTAGGCAGGAGAATTGCTTGAACCCAGGAGGCAGAGGTTGCAGTGAGCTAAGATTGTGCCACTGCACTCCAGCCTGGGTGACAGAGCAAAACTCCATCTCAAAAAAAAAAAAGAATGCTATAAAGGGGTCAGGCATGATGGCTCCCTCTTGTAGTCCCAGTTACTTGGGAGGCTGAGGCAGGAGGATGACTTGAGCCTGAGAGGTCAAGGTTAGAGTGAGCTGTGATTGTACCATTGCACTCCAGCCTGGGTTACAGAAGGAGACCCTGTCTCCAAGAAAAAAGAAAAAGATTGCTATAATGGTGATGTGTATTTCCCATTGCATCACATCAGTAGATATAAAATGTCAATTTCTCCTATTATCAATAATGTTAGAGCTTTGTAAATTTGGTTAATGTGATGTTTCCCAGCTCTCTCCATTGTAAATATATCATTTCCCTTCTTATTAATAGATATCTGGGCATGGACTTTGGATTATATTCATATTGTGTTTTCCATGCATCTTTTACTCAGTTATTTTAGCTTTTTGTTGTTTGTTGTTTTTGAGATGGGGGTCTTTTGCTCTGTGGCCCAGGCTGGAGTACAGTGTCACAATTACAGCTCACTGCAACCTCCACCTCCTGGGCTCAAGTGATCCTCCCACCTTAGCCTTTTGAGTAGCTGGGACTACAGGTGTGTGCCACCATGCTTGGCTAATTTTTGTATAATTTTTGCAGACATGGGGTTTGGCCATGTTGCCCAGGCCAGTCTGGAACTCCTGGGATCAAGCAGTTCGCCTGCCTCAGCCTCCCAGAGTGCAATGATTACAGGCGTTGAGTCACTGTGCTTGGCCTATTTTAGCATTTATTAATGATCCTTGCTTGATTCAGTTATTACATCTGGGGTTGCAATATGGTGATTTTCCAGTGTCATTTTTTTGCATTTATTAGCTACCTTTTTTTTGTTTTTGTTTTTCAGATGGGATCTTGCTATGTTGCCCAGGCTGAAGTAGCTATTCACAGACCTGATCATCAGGCATGGCGGCTCACACCTATAATTCCAGTACTTTGGGAGGCCAGTAACTGCCTCAGCCACAGCCTCCTAAGTAGCTGAAATTAAAGGTGCATGCCCATGCCTGGTAATTAGCTAGCTTTTAAAAAAATTTTATTTAAAGAAAAGTGCTTCCCCTTTTTCTCTCCTTCTTTCAGTATCACCAAGGAGTCATGAATTTTTTCTATATTCAATGTACTATGTTATTTTTTGTTGATTTGTTAGCCAGTGGGATCCTGTGTCCTTTTGAAATAGCCCCAGTAGTGTTTGAGTTCTTCCATCCTTTCTGACACAAAATGTTTCAGACTCACCTTGTACTTTCCTTGCTTCAAACCTGGAAGTAGCTAATTTTTTCAAGGAGCCCTGGTTCCTTTTAGTGGCAATGGCATTTGGAAACCAAGATCTAGTTGCTAAGTATACTTTAAAAATAACCTTTAAGAAAAAAACATTGCCCGAGGCTGGGAGCAGTGGCTCACACCTATAATCCCAGCACTTTGGGAGGGTGAGGCAGGTGGATTATGAGGTCAAGAGTTCGAGACCAGCCTGGCCAAATTAGTGAAACCCCTTCTCTACTAAAAATACAAAAAAATTAGCTGGTTGTGGTGGCGCACGCCTGTAGTCCCAGCTACTCAGGAAGCTGAGGCAGGAGACTCGCTTGAATCTGGGAAGCATGAGGTTATGATGAGCTGAGATTGTGCCACAGCACTCCAGCCTGCCCAGCCTAGACAACAGAGGAAGACTCCATCTTTAAAAAAAAAAAAAAAAATTGTCTGACATTTTGATAGTGTATTACCATGTAAGAGGGCTTCCACATGTTTTTAAAATGATTCACCTTATTGGTCCTTCCTCTAGTACTGTATGGTAGGCAGGTCAAATGCTAGAATCTTCATTTAAAGATGAAGAAAGTGAGGTTTAGAGAGGATTTAACTTTCTCAGAATTATAAGGCTAGTAAGAACAGTTTGCGGGACCCAAACCCAAGCCTTTTACTTGTTTAATTTTTTTCTTTATTTTTTCTTTTTTTCATAATATGTAGTCTCCTAAAAAGTGTGTTTAGATATCCAATAAAGCTATGTAGTTGACTGTTGATCTTGGTCACTGCCAGTCCATCTAGAGAGAACACTTCCTTTGTGAAACTAACTGACAAATGACTAGAACCATAGAGGATTTTTGCATCCTTCTGAGCATTGCTTTGGGAGCTTCTTTTGTAATGGAGCTTACTAAAGGGCTTTCAACACTGCTTTGTGATGCATGGAATGTTTGATGTGGGACTTGGAGAGCTCTCTTTGGAAGCAGTGTATGGTCATACTTAAACCCTTTGTCTCATGACAGGCTGTAATTAGGTCACTGCTAGGGAACCAAAAGAAGAAGAAGGAAACCCTGGCAGTAAATCTTAAAATGCTATGCTTATGCTATAATTTAGTATTTCACTGTTTGAAGGTCTCTATCTTAATCCTACTTGTTTTATTTTCACTAAAATTCAAGTTTTGCAAATTAACAACCTAAGGAAACTTTTTAGACATTTGTCCCCTAATCTCTTCCCACCCACCATGAGATTTTAATACCTCAGATATACTGCATATCTGTACACTGTATATATTTGTGCTTTATATATTAAAAGAGCTAAGATGTTTTTCATCCTCCGAGAACCATTTTTTGGCCTCTTTGGGAGTGATATTACCCTTATTGAAAAATACGTGAAGTAGATGGTAAAATGAAGGACAAATTTGATTTGTATTATAATAATTCATCTTTTTCGTTTTTTGAGTCAGAATCTCTCTCTGTCTCCAGGCTGGAGTGCAGTGGCGTGATCTCAGCTCACCACAACCTCTGCCTCCCTGGTTCAAGCGATTTTCCTGCCTCATCCTCCCAAGTCGCTGGGATTACAGGCGCGCACCACCACGCCCAGCTGCTTTTTGTATTTTTAGTAGAGATGGGGGTTTCACAGTGTTGACCAGGCAGGTCTGGAACTCCTGACCTCAAGTAATCTGCCCACCTCAGCCTCCCAAAGTGCTGGGATTACAGGCGTGAGCCACACCTGGCCAGTAATCCATCATATAATTGCATACTGAAAATAAAGTGTCTTACTTGAATAACTAAATACAGTCTATAAATTATTTCAGTCCTAATAGCACTATGAGATTTTGGTTACCTGAAGGCTAACCTCATCCTACTGATCAAAGATAGTAATTTTTCACCCATAGGAAGCACCAAAGTCTACAATCTTAATTTCTTTTTCCTTCCAAAGAGTTAGATAATTGAGATTTTTGGTGATACTGGTGAATTTAATCATTTTCAGTATTATTTTTCTCTGGAATTTATTGATGTGTAAGATACTACTTGAATATATTATAACACACTTAAGATGTATATATAGATATATATATATACACACACACACACACATACACACACACACATACACACACACACACACACACATATATATATGTACATATACATATACATATATATATATATATAAATTTTGCCTGAAAATTCCCCCTTTCTCCTACCACTACCCCAGATAAAGAATGGAATATTTGAGGGAGTAGAAACATATACTGTAGTGAGTTTTTTTTCTTTTTAGCATTTACCCATTACACACCATCTTGTGTGCTTTGTGGGTTTTTTCCTAAACATTTCTCTGTATATCTTTTTATTATTGTTTTCTGCCTCTGTCTCTTTTCTTTGTCTTTTGCTTTCTGTACTTCCCCCAGTATTCCTTCCATCTCTTTTCCTGCCCTCTTATTTCTTCTCTCTCCTACATGTTGTCTCCTTTCTTTTCATTCAGGACTATGAGAGTAAATTGCAGGCCTTGCAGAAGCAGGTTGAAACCCGATCCCTAGCGGCAGAAACAACTGAAGAGGAGGAAGAGGAGGAGGAAGAAGGTGAAATCTAGAGACAGAAACTTTCCTGTGTATATCTTTTTGGAGTTATATTATCAAATTAGTCATTTATGCATAACTAAAGCTGGATTCCTCATAGTGGGCCCTATCATTTATTGACATTTTACTGAGCCAGTTTATTGATGATTTAATAGATGTGCAGTGTTGAGAATCCAGGCTGTGGATTCTCATCCATTTTATGAGGTGGGGATGGGGGTGATAGTGTTCTTAGACCTTCACAAGGTTTCTGAACACATCTTCATATGAATGTCTTAGAAAGTTTCAGGGCATAGTGGCTCATGCCTGTAATCCAGCACTTTGGGAGGCCAAGGTGGGTGGATCACTTGAGGTCAGGAGTTCGAGACCAGCCTGGCCAACATGGTGAAACCCCATCTATACTAAAAATACAAATTTAGCCAGGCATAGTGGTGCACGCCTATAATCCCAGCCTCTTGGCAGACTGAGGCAGGAAAATTGCTAAAACCTGGGAGGTGGAGGTTGCAGAGATCACGCCATTGTACTCCAGCCTGGGCAGCAAGATTGAAACTCTGTCTCAAAAAAAAAAGAAAAAAAATTAGCCAGTCATGGTGGTGTGCACCTGTAGCCCTAGCTACTTGGGAGGCTGAGGCAGGAGAATAGCTTGAAACAGGGAGGCAGACATTGCAGTGAGCCAAGATCGTGCTGCTGCACTCCAGCCTGGCGACAAAGTGAGACTCTGTCTCAAAAAAAGAAAGTTTACATGTACTGCCTCATATTGCTGTAGATGTGACGTTTTTATATATGAATTACAAATAAATATAGAGCTTAATGTTGGTTAAGGCAGTCTGTTCAATTTGCTGGCTAATGTCAGATTTCCAAGTGAGGACTTTGGAATGTGTCAGTGTACTTTGAAGCCATTTCTGGCAAATATCTAATCATATTGCTTAGTCATGTTTGCCTATGTTAGGTTTTCCAGCATTTCTTAGCTGAGTTAGGGCTTTCATTGTTACTTATTGCCTTATAATGCGGTATGAACACTTACCACACTTCCTTTTTCCACCCAACCTCTTGGCAGTCTCAAAGCTTCAAACTAACTTTGAAGGAACTCTTAATTTATGTATTAAATGTCTTATTTATTTATTCATTTTTGAGGCAGAGTTTTGCTCTTGTCACCCAGGCTAGAGTGCAATGGCACAGTCTTGGCTCACTGCAACCTCCACCTCCTGGGTCCAAGCGATTCTCCTGCCTCAGCCTCCTGAGTAGTTGGGATTACAGGCGTGCGTCTCCACGCCTGGCTAATTTTGTGTTTTTAGTAGAGACAGGGTTTCACCATGTTGGTCAGGCTGTTCTCAAACCTGCCATGGCCTCCCAAAGTGTTGGGATTACAGGCGTGAGCCACTGTACCCAGCTAGTTTCTTATTTTTAAATAAGTGAAATGGTACCTTTTTTTTCTCTATAGTAGAACAAAAAAAGAGAAATATGTGAAGTCATACAGTATATCAGGGGTCACAGGTCAGGAGATTGTCTTTCTTTTTTGAGACGAAGTCTCACTTTGTCACCCAGCCTGGAGTGCAGTGGTGCAATCTTGGCTCACTGCAACCTCTGCCTCCCAGGTTCAAGCAATTCTCATGCCTAAGCCTCCTGAGTAACCGGGACTACAGGCACATGCCATCACGCCTGACTGATTTTTGTTTTTAGTAGAGATGTAGTTTCACCATGTTGGCCAGGCTGGCCTCAAACCCCTGACCTCAGGTTATCTGCCCACCTCTGCCTCCCAAAGCGCTGGGATTAATAGATGTGAGCCACTGTGCCTAGCCAGTTTTTTTTTTTTTTTTTTAAGAAAGAATTTTGTTGTTGTTGCCCAGGCTGGAGTGCAATGGTGCGATCTCGGCTCACTGCAACCTCTGCCTCCTGGGTTCAAGCGCTTCTCCTGCCTCAGCCTCCCAGGTAGCTGGGATTACAGGCTGCACCACCACACACAGCTGATTTTGTATTTTTAGTAGAGATGGGGTTTCTCCTTGTGGTCAGGCTAGTCTTGAATTCCTGACCTCAGGTGATCCACCCGCCTTGGCCTCTCAAAGTGCTGGGATTACAGGTGTGAGCCACCCCACCCGGCCCAGGAGTATTTTTTTATTGTGGCCATATGTTATAATA